TAAATAATACACAACAGGCCTGGGGATTTAGCTCAGTGGTTCCACCACCTGCCTCTCAAGCACAAGGTCCCGAGTTTGATCCCCAGTACCAAATAAATAAATAAAAATATACAACAAATGTTAACTATTATTCTTTTGTTTTGGCGCCAGGAAATGAACCTGGGACCTCTTGTAATAGCGCATGCTCCAACCCTGAGCAACACCCTCAGCCCCTGTTACCATTTTTTTAAGCCAGGATGCATATTCAAATACCTTTAGGATCCTACGTGGGTCAGAGAGTCTGGTAGGAACTAAGGAGTTAGGTAATGCTCTCCCCAGAAAGGGAGAAGCATCTCAGGCCTAGTGGACTGATACTGATAAAGTGGGGCAAGTAGCTTCCTTTTTCTGGGCCTCAGTTTGCTGTCTGTAGAATGGGAAGGTTGGCAGCAGCTCCTACTCCTTGGGGCAAGCAGCAGCATCCCCATGATCCATGCACTCATAATGTGCCTCCCAGTGCCTGGCATACAGGAGCCCTCAGTAAGATGGGGCTTGTTCTGTTTGACTGTTTTTAGAATAGTTGTTGCCCTTCCTTTGTGTAAGGACAGGTTTGCAAGCCCCTCCCATTTTCTAAAGCAGGTTTCAAACACCACCACTGCACCCAAAACCCCAATCCCTGGGTGGACGCACAGGTGCTTGTCAGGGGCAGACACTGCAGCTCTGGATGCTGTTGGCATCTGGCAAACAGCCCCGGGTTGCCATGTCTCCCAAGTTGGCAGGGGAAACTAGAAATCCTGATTTGGTGTGGAGTCTCACATTTTAAATAGTGGCAACCGCAATGTTAGGTCACCAGGCATAATATAAGACAGAAGAGATGGGGCTCCTCAGGCCTCCTCCTTTATGACTTCCACATGAAGCCTGAAGGCAGTGACAAGAACAAGGGTGATATCCCATGAAAAACAACCATGATGATGACAGCTAGCATGCACTGATGGTTCACTGCGGATAAGCCCTATTATAATAGCCCACTTAACCTACACAACACTTACATAGCGGTGCGACTGTTACCCATCCTACAGGTAGGGACACTGGGGCCCCTTAGAATGGCTGTCCCCTAGGGAAAGGCACAGCTGGGATTTGAGCCTGGGTTGCCCTGACTCCCAGCTAAGTGCTCTCTTAGAAGAGCCACTGACATCAAAAAGAAGAAGGGAAGGGGAACAAGTCATAGTGGCACCAGCCTATAATCTCAGCACTCCAGTGGCTGAGGCAGGAGGATCACAAATTTAAGGCCAGCCTGAACTACCTAGCAACACCCTGTTTCAAAAGAACAAGAACAAAAAACAAAAAGTATTGGAGGGTTGGAGCGATAGACAGACCGGGATGAAGAGTAGAGGATGCCCAGGAACAATCCCACCTCTTCAAGCCTCATAGGGTCTGTTATCCAAGAAAGACAGGCTGGGAGAACTGGCCTGGTGGTCCACACCTGTAATCCCACCAATTGAGAGGTTGAGGCAGGAGGATCTCCATGAGTTCAAGGCCAGCCTGAACTACAAAGGGAGACCCTGTCTCAAAAAAAAGGCTGCAGGGCTGGGGATTTAGCTCAGTGGTTCTGACATCTGCCTTGAAACCAAAAGGTCTCAAATTCGATTCCAGTACGGAAAAAAAAAAAATTCCCTTGGGCCAGGGATTTAGCTCAGTGGTGCCACCACCTGCCTCAAAAGCACAAAGTCCCAAGTTCGAAGGCTAGGGGCCGGGGATTTAGCTCAGTGGTTCCGGCACCTGCCTCGAAAGCGCAAGGACCTGAGTTCGATCCCCATGCCAAAAAAAAAAAAAAAAAAGGGCTGGGAGCAAGGAGATTGGGGAGGCAAGAGCTATCAAAGGAGGCATATAACCATAACTATAAATAATTATTATCATAAAATAATTTTTTTTTTGGTACTGGGGATCGAACTTGGGTCCTTGCACTTGCGAGACAGGCAGCATAACCACTGAGCTAAATCCCCGGCCCATAAAATAATTTTAAAATGGGGAGTTAAATGCCTTTGTACAGGGCTGAGGGTATAGCTCGGTAGTAAAGCACTTGCCTACCATTTGCAAGCCCCTAAATTCAATCTCCAACACCACAAAACAGAAAAACATCCCCTTATATGCCCAAAATGTTTCTCTACAGTGACTCTCACATCTCAGCAGCCCTGAGAAGAAGGTACTGTTTTCCTGCCCATGTCAGAGAGGAGGAAACTGAGCCCCAAGAGTGTAAGTCATGTGCCCAGGGTCACAACAGAGCCCGCCCTCATCCCCACGCCACCTGGCTTTAGTCCATGCTCCTGACCGGCCTACCTCCCTGAAATCCCGTGCTGGGCCCAAAACATGGGCCTGCCTTTTATACCTCGGATCTGTGAGTTTGAACAGTTTCCCCCTGTGCTGCCTGGACCCCAGGTCCCCTGCATACACTCATGGTGACCAGGCCTCCTCGTACCTCGTGGGTCTCGAAGAAGGGCGAGTTCTCCAGAGTGTCTCGAAGATCTTCCAGGCGCGTCACGTACTTTCTCTGAGTGTGAGAAGAGGGGTGCCTCGGTTAGCACAGAAACCTTACAAGCCACCTTGAGATCGCACCTCTCCTGTGCCCCAAAGGAGTGGGCCGACTCCAGCCAGATGGGATGAGGCGAGCAATGGGGAAATGGAGGGCAGGAGGAGTGAGGGGCTGGAGTCATCAAGGTGGGGCAGACAAGAGTAGGGCAGACAACATGAATACCCACAGTCCTAGCAGTGGCTCCCACTGAGAGGCGGAGCTGTTTCCCCTTTTTTTTTTTGGTACGGCGGATTGAACTTGGGTCCTTGTGCTTTCCAGACAGGCACCAGAACCACTGAGCTAAATCCCCTGCCCTCTCCTCTTCCTTTTGAGTTGAGTTTGGTTCTATGCTGTGATCTTTGGACAATAGGACGTGGCCACTGTTGTTTTATTTTATTTTATTTTTTTTTAAGTCAAGGTTTCACTGTGTAATTCAGGCTGATCTTGAACTCACTATGTAGCCCAGGCTGGCCTCAAACACACAGTGATCCTCCTGCCTCAGCCTCCCAAGTGTTAGGATTATAGGTATCCACCACCACACCCAGCTGTTGTTTTTTGGTTTTGTTTTTTCGGGTACCAGGGATAGAACTCAGGACCTTGCCAGGCAGGTGAGGCACAGCTGAGCTAAATCCCTGGCCCCTGTTGTTTTTTGAAACAAGGTCTCCTTGTATATTCTAGGCTGGTCTGGAACTTGTAGCTATCCTCCTGCCTCAGTCTCCCAAATGCCAGGATTACAGGCGTGTGCCACCGCACCTGGAACACATGGCTATTCTGAACCCAGGCATTGAGGCCTTGCACTTTTCCTGCTCTCTTAGCTCCCTGCTTCATGGTGGGAAGCAGTTAGGGTAGCTGATAGATCAGGAGAGACAGGTGGCCAAGTTCTGAGCCAAGGGCAAACACATGAGCCAGGCCTCATGGACCAGCCAGCTGTAGGCGAGCAACTGACTGCAGACTGCGTGAGCAAGGCCGGCCAGGACCAGCAAGCCCAGCCTGAAGCAAATGTCCACTGACTTAGAAGCAACAATAAATGGTAGTTGTCTTTAACAGCTACATTTGGGACATGGGTTTCCACTCACCAGGATTCTGTGGTCCCCATCCATGAAGTCCTCCAGCACCTTTGTCACCTGCTCCAGTGCCTGTGTCTTCTTGAAGTTGGTGTTGCAGGTCCCATCAGCTTTCTGTAGGGCAAGGAGAGAAGGGGCGCTGTCACACCTCTTCCTTCCCAGCAACCTCGGTCACCTGCCAGGACCACCTGCCTGCCGCCACACTTGCCTGATGTTCAGGGGGACCCAGCCCTGCTTGGCCACAAGTCACACTCCAGCCTGTATTTCCGCATCTAACCTTGGACATCTTGATGGGGCCAGACCAGCAAAGTGGGATTTTAGGGGCACAGATCTGACTTTCGGTTGGGATTCTGTTACTTTCCAGCTGGCTGCTCTTAAACAAGTCACTTTATCTGCCTCGGCCTCTGATTCCTCATCTGGAAAATGGAAATTGTATTGTTGTCTACTTCCCAAAGCTGGAATAGGATTAGAGGATGCAGACCACAGTGCTGAGCACGGCATGTGGGTAGTAAATGAGGCAAGTGTTATTTTTCACATTTGAGAGGGACACAGAGAAGCCACTCTGGGGCACACTCAGCCATACTATGCCAGATGCTAGGTGTGCAGAGCTAACACGGAGGTAAGAGGGCAGGCAGTGAACAACATGAAAACAAAGGAAGACAAGAATGATGAAGATGTACAGTGAACTAAGAGGAAGAATAGAAGGAGCTCTGATACAGTAGGATGAAAATCAGGGAGGGCTTCTCTGAGGAAGCAAGATATGAAAGGAGCCAGAAAAATGATAGAGAGTCAACCAGAACTAGAGAGAAGAGCATTCCTGGCAGAGGGAACAGTGTGTGCAGGGGTCCTGGGGCTGGAAAAGCTTGAACTTTTCAAAGAAATGAAAGTGTTTAAGATGGGTGTGGTGGTGCACACCTGTAATCCCTGCACTTGGGAGGCTAAGGGAAAAGGATTGCCAGGAGTTCCAGGCCATCCTGAACTACAAAGCAAAATCCTGCTTCAAAAAACAAAATCAAACAAACAAACAAAAACAAAAAAAAGAAATGAAAGTGCTTCATTGATACCTGATGGTGTACAAAGAGGAAGAGAGGAGTGAGAGCTGAGGAGCAGGCCTGGAGGGCTCTCTAGGCCATGGAACTTTTGAGTACAAGAGAAGCATGGAACAGTTTTGAATAGGAGGGTGGGATGGTGTAGTCAAATGTACAACTTGGAATCTTTCTAAGGCAAGACGGAGGAAGTGAGGCCATGAGGGATGCACAGTGGTGTGATACCAATACAAGGAACTTGGTAATCTCTAGCAAAATTACCAGTGCACCTAATCTTTCACCCAGTAGTCCTACTTCTGGAAATCTAGCCTACAGCCAAATCTACACACTTGCAAAATATCTTATGTGTGAGATAATTCACTGGGGCACTGAAATGACCAAAAAATGGAAACAGCTTAAGTATCCATCTGTAGGAGACCATGGCACATCCACAAAGAGAGACAGTTACACAGGTGTAAGCAGACGGGAAGGAGGGAGAGAAGGGAGACTATGGAAGGATATGGAAAACTCTCCAGGATACTACTGTTATAGGAAAAAGCTATGAACTGCTAGGGCCAGGGATTTAGCTCAGTGACACCACACCTGCCTCACAAGCGCAAGGTCCTGAGTTCGATTCCCAGTACCAAAAAAAAAAAAGCAAACTGCCCATCAGTGTGTGGATGGAGGGAAATTGAGAGTATACGTATACTATTGCATTTGCTTGTATTTTTAGGAAGAAACAAGAACCTGACAAAGCAGTTCCCCATTAGCAGGCAGGAGGATGGAAGGACAGAATGAGAAGGGCGGCAGCAGAGCTAGAAGAAATTCTCCACAAATATCCTTTCATAAATTATTTTGACTTCTGAATACTGTGAATAGTGATTCAAACATATATTTAATTTTTAAAAAAAGGAATGCAAGAAGAAAACAGAAGCCTTCTCCATTGCAGAGGGGAAACGATCCCTGTGGTTATGGTGCTAGATGATGACAGAGGGGCTGAGTGCAGGCCCCAGAGAGGCAGGGGCAGAAGAGGGGCTGGACCCGGACATGGCCATGGAGATGGAGAGGACGTTCTCAGGCTGGCAGGTGAACACCACTTGGTCTCTGATGGATGTGGGCACGAGAGCTAAGTGGGACCTCTGTAGCCCTAGCCTTTCCATCCTCTGCATCTCCCACTCTCCCTGCACGTCTGCTTGTTCCCAGCTTCCCCTGACACTCATGGTCCCTGAGCAGCCTGGCCTCAGATCCAGCTCCAGGCCCTCTCAGAATAAGACAGCTGCTGGCCCTCACCTTGATGCCCTCGATCCGGAAGCCCAGAGTGGAGGTTGAGCTCATGGTTTCCCTCCATTGCATGTAGCGGGGCTTGGTAACTGCACCCTGGGCATGCTCCTCGGGGGTAGGGGCCCCGGGGTCCACAGCCACCATCTTCTCGTACATGTCCTTCCGGGGCCGGGGCCGTTCACGTGCCTTCACCAGCTCCTCCTCCAGGTAGGTCCTGAGTACACCGAAGATATGACCATATGAGGGAATTAAAAGCACAGAGCTGGAGGACTGCTACTCCCTGATATTTTATTTACTCATTTAGATTTTTTTTTCCCCAGTACTAGGAACCTTGGACTTGCCAGGCAGTCATGGTGCCACTGAGCTAAATCCCCGGCCCCTCATTTAGATTTTTGAGACAGGGTCTCGGCTCGCTATGTAGTTCGGACAGGACTTGAACTCACAATATAGCCTAGGCTGGCCTCAAACTCCCAGTGATTCTCCTGCCTCAGCCTCCCAAGTGCTAGGATTGAACTCTGGACCTTGAGCTTGCAAGGCAGGCACCGGAACCACTGAGCTAAATCCCCAGCCCTTTGTTTAGTTTTTGAGAAAGGGTCTCACTATGCATTGAGGCTGGCCTTGAACTCACTATGCAGCCCACGGTGGCCTTGAATTCATGGTGATCTTGCTACCTCAGCCTCCCAAATGCTGGGATTACAGTAGTGTACCATCACATCTGGCTGTTTCTGATATTTTTTTTTTTGGTACTGGGGATCGATCTCGAGACCTTGCACTTGGGAGGCAGGCGGCAGAACCACTGAGCTAAATCCCCAGCCCTGTTCCTGCTATTTTAGAGATATAGTGTAGCACAAGAATGGACAAATAAATAGAATAGAACAGAGTCCACAAACTGACACACACGTGCACATTCCTCCAGTTTGTGACAAAGGGGATACTGCAATTCAGTAGGAAAAGAGAAGACTTTGCAATAAATGGTGCCATGTCAATAGATGTCCCTAAACCAGGGGTGGTGGTGCAAGCCTGTAACCCCAGCACTGGGAAGGCTGAGGAAGGAGGATTGCTACAAGTTTGAGGCCAACCTGGGCTACACAGAGAGACCCTGTCTCAAAAAACAAACAAATTCTCAAATACCAGTTCACTAACCATAAGAAGAAAAGCTCACAAGTTGGACTAAATTAAAAGTTCTTCTAGGCCAGATACCTGTCATCCCAGCACTCTGGGAGGTTAAGGCAAGAGTCCAGCCTGCTCTACTCAGCAACTGAGCAAGATCCTGTCTCAAAACAAGTAAATAAATAAATAAAATCTTAAAAGGGCTGGAGTTCCGGGGGTGTAACTCAGTACAAAGGGGATGTAGCTCAAGGGCCGGGAATGTAGCTCAGTGGCAATAGTGAGGTCCTGATTTCAATTCCTGGTACCCCCCCCCCCAAAAAAGGCCCTGGTTTCAATCCTAGGTACTGAAAGAAAAAAGTACTTCTAAGTCAAGGTGTAGTGGGGTACACTTGTAATCCCACCACTTGGGAGACTGAGGCAGGAGGATTGTGAGTTCAAGACCAGCCTGACCTACATAGCTCAAGGCCAGCCTTACACAATGAGACCCTGTTGCCAAAAAAAAAAAAAAAATGAGACCCTGTCACCAAAAAAAAACACAAATGCCCACCACTTGCCCTCCACCCTGCTCTAGGGCTGCCCTGACCCTACCTGATGCCCATCTTGCAGTCCATGATGGAGGGGGCCTCAAAGTCAGCCAGGAGATCTTCCATCTGGTTGAAGGCCTGGCCGTCCTGCTGCACCATGCCATAGTAGGTTGGCACGAAAGGCCGCAGAGGGTCTCCCATCAGCTGTTCCAGGCTGCGCTGCTCACACTGACAGAAACATTTCAGAATCCGACCATTCGCCCCTGCCTGGAAGTTCCCTATGGACAACAGGACCAGCAAAAGGGTCAGAAACTGGATCGGAAAGAATCCCCCACCCGTTTCCCTCTATACATCATATCCACCATCACCTAGCCTGACCCTCCTGCAATGCTCTCTCTCCTTCCCCTCAACTCTCAAAATTTTGGCCTGGCAGGGAAAAGGAAGGGCCTGTTTCAGTTCTCTATTCACAGCACAGAGTGTTCTTTTTTTTTTTTTGGTACTGGGGATCAAACTCAGGACCTTGCGGTTTCGAGGCAGGCAGGGTGCCACTGCACTAAATCCCCAGCCCCACAGTGTGTTCTTGTTTGTCTTACAATTTGAGGTTATAAGCTCAAAATTGTAGGAATTTTGTGAGATTTGGGTTGAGAGCATGACTTTCCAGAGCTGATCTGCATTTGCTTCTGCCTGGAGTTCCAGCTAACAAACAGGGCCCATTTAAGTTACTTTATAAATCTGTCATTTCCTGGACCATGCAGACAGTGAGTATAGACTGGAATTCCAAATTTTCATTGTGGCACACTATATTTTCAAATTATATTCCTCAAAGATGGCCACAACAATATCTCCTGTTCTACTTAAGATATTTACCCTCTAGCCCTTCACAAAAAGTGCTGTGTGCTAAGTGCTATGTGCCTGGAGGCATTTGCTGGGTTGTGGAGGAAAACTACTACAGCTGCTGTTTGCTGAAGGGTTATTACCCTCTGGACACAGAAAGAGGTCAGGGAATGACAGTTTGCACCTACAAGAGGGGCTGTGTGTCAATCTCCATAACTTTTTTTCTTTTTTATGTGGTGCTAGAAATTAAACCCAGGGCCTCCCACAGGCTAGGCAAGTGCTCTACCAACTAAGATACGTCCCCACCCTGTATATACATTGTTTTTTGTGGTACTGGGGATTGAACTCAGGTAATCATGTATGCTAGTCAAGCATTGCACCACTGAGCTAGAACCATAGCCCTTTTTAAATTTTTTATTTTCATTTATTTTTTTAATTTTTTTCTTTTTTTTTTTTGGAGACAAGGTCTCCCTATGTGGTTCAGGTTGGACTTGAATTCAGGGGAATCCTCCTGCCTCTGTCAGCCTCCTGAGTTCTGAGATTACAGATGTGGGTCACCACACCTGGCCAAATTTTTATTCTGAGACAGGGTTCTGCTAAATTTCCCAGGCTAGCTAGGTATGGTGATGCACACCTGTGATCCCAGCACTAGGATGGCTGAGGCAAGAGAATTGCTGACTTCGAGGACATCCTGGGCTACACAGTGAGTTTAAGGGCAGCCTGAACTACATAGCAAAAAACCAAATGTCTTAAAAAACCAAATAAATAAATAAAATTATAAATTTCCCAGGCTGGCCTTGAACTTGTGATTCTCTTGACTTACCCTCCCAGCTGAGATTACAGGTGTGGGCTACGGCATCTGGCTATATTTTGGGGTGGTTTTTTTTGTTTTTGGGGGGGGGGTACCAGGGATCGAACTTGGGTCCTTGTGCTTGCAAGGCCTGCAGCAGAACCACTGAACTAAATCCCCAGCCCTATATTTTGGTTTTAACTCTTCAATTAACCCTACAAGGCAAGTAAGATTTTTGTTAACTAAAGGGGAAACTGAGGCCCTGAAAAGGAAAATAACCTGCCCAGAGTCACCTGTGAATACTGAATAGAAGTAGAATTTGAACCCAGGCCCATCTGTTCCAGAGTTGAGGTTCTGCCACCCACCAGAATACAGCACTAGGAAACACCTTCCACCCTGACATACAAATGCCCAGGCCCAAGCCCAAGTGTTCTTCATAAGAGTCCCAGAAGGGGCCGGGGATTTAGCTCAGTGGTTTCGCCGCCTGCTGCGCAAGCGCAAGGACCTGAGTTCGATCCTCAGTACCAAAAAAAAAAAGAGTCCCACAAGGTGGGAACTGCCACGGAGCCCATTTTATAGACAGAGATTCTAAACCCCAGAGAGCAGCCCTTTCCCTAGCCCGGCGCCTCTCCCCAGCCTTGCCCCCCCACCACCATGGTTCTCACCAGCATGTCCGGAAAGCTGGACCCAAGGGTAGTGTTTACGGAATGAGACCACAAAGGGCGAATACTTAAGAACCGTCTTCAGCTTCTTCCATGGTTTTCTCTGTGTGGGGCAGAGGAGAGTGAGGTCAGGGCCAAGGCCAGGAAGGAAAGGAGCTGACAGTGCTGCCATGAGAGGAAACCAAAGAGCCGGGAGTGGTGGCACATGCCTGTAATCCCACCCCTAGGGAGGCTGAGGCAGGAGGATCACAAATTCAAACAAGACCCTGTCTCAAAATTAAAAATTAAATAAATGGCTAGGGATGTAGCTCAGTGGAGAAGCCCCTGGGATCAATCACCAGTAAGCTTATTGGGGTAAGTGATCCCCACTTAGTTCAGCAATCAGAGGTGTCCAAAGGCCTCAGCAAAGTTGGGAAGATCTCTCTCTGTCACCACTTTCTTGGTATCTATGTTTCTCCCTGTCTTTGCCCTACAAGTTAAGGATGAGCTAGGTTATGTTGCAGTAAAAACTGCAGATCTGCCTGCTACCCCCAAACAGGTACACTGCGCAAATATGGAAGGCCCAACTCTGCCCCTAAATCAGGTCAGATCCAGAGGCAGGAGTGGGTGGATGGAGGCAGAGAGAGACAGAAACAGAGACAGATGACAAAGTGATGACAGAGACAAGGACAGAGATAAAGACTGTATTAGTCATGACAGCTGTTCACCAAGTCACTCCCGCTCTCCCCCCTTCCAGAGACGACACTGCCCTCTTGAACGTGGAATATAAACAAAAATAACCCTTTGTTGTTCTAAGTCATTCAGATCTGGGAACTGTTTGTTACGACAGCAGATCCTATTTTCCCTGACTAACACAGACACGGAGACAGGCACAGTGTGACTAAAAGAGAAAGAAAAAACGACAGAGTCACACAAAGGAATGACAGAGAAGGGTGGATCAAAGCAGAAGAAACAGAGCAAGAGCAAGAGAGAGGTGGGGAGGGTGAGAGAGCAATAGAAAACCAGAGAAGGGCTGGGGGTATGACTCAGTGGGAGAACACGAGCATAGTATGCACATGATCCCGGGTTCCATCCCCAGGAAAACAGCAGCAAATAGAAAACAGGACTTAAGGGCCAGGGGTTTAACTCAGTGGTTCCACTGCTGCCTCAAAAGTGCAAGGTCCTGAGTTCAATCCCAGGTATCAAAAAAAAAAAAGTTCTACCGCCTGCCTCACAAGCTCAAGGACCTGAGTTCGATCCTCAGTACCAAAAAAAAAAACACCAGGGCTTAGTTGTGGGTCCAAGAGCAAGACAGGGTCCAACACACACACACACACACACACACACACACACACACACACACACACAAACAGATGTGTCCTCTACCGGGGCACATAGCAGCACTTAGGAGGTATTGGGAGCGTGGATCATGGCTAGAAAAGGAAGTCATGTGTGGCTCACCTCCCCCCCCCCACACACACACACTGTCAAGAGTGTGTTCTCTGACACTAAGCTCAGGTACCTAGCACACATCTAACTGATGGCAGAGGGTTAAGCAGGGAGTCAGGGTGTTGGGCCCAGGGATACCGGAAGGGCTATTCCCTCCCTTGGGGAAGAGGTGATTAATCAAGGTTCCTGTTTACTAAGCACCTGGAACATTCCAGGCACAGTGACAAAGACTCAATGTATCATACCCTATTTAATCTGAAAAACACAACCTCAAAAAGATTGTTGTCTGTGTCACTGAGGAAAAAAGCGCTCAGAGAAGCAAGGCCACTTGCCTAACATCACGAAGCACACAGTGCTCTGGTCTGACTCCACTGCCTCTAAGCTGTACCCACTGCTCTGCTGCTGTACGAGCGAAGAAGGTGCCGTGTCATTGTCAGGACTGTGTCCCTAGTGCACAAATAGTGCTCCAAAAAGGGTGCCTGGAAATAGAGTTAGTTGAAATTGTCCTTTATTATCATAAACAGATTAGATAGTCAATCTCTCATTCTCTCTTCTTCTCTTTCTCATAGTACTGAGGATTGAACCCATGCCACTGGTACATGCTAGGGAAGTGCTCTACCACTGAGCTACACCCCAAGGCCTTTCTCCTGTTTATATTAGGTCCAAGGGTTAATCTGTTTTTGTTAAGTGCTGGGGATTGAACCCAGGCCTTCATACTGAGCTACAACCGAACTCTTTTAATTTTATATTTTAATTGTTTTATTAGTACATATTTGAATACATTCATCCTGGGGAGTTTGTACATGTACCAAATGCATCTTTTGGGGGACGGGCACTGGGGATCGAACTCAGGACCTTGCGCTTGCAAGGCAGGCAGCAGAACCACTGAGCTAAATCCCCAGGCCAAATGCTTCTTAATCTTTTGTTCTTTTTATTTTTTATTTTGAGACAGGGTATTACTAAATTGCTCAGGTTGGGCTCAAACTTGTGATTCTCCCGCCTCAACCTCCCAGAGTGCTGGGATTATAGACAGCTAAATTAGTTACGATATTATAGGCAGTCAGACAGGGATGGGCCCTGAGAGTCAACACAGAAGATAAGAACATATTATAACAGTGGCTGGAGGTGCATTCTTTAAAGCTTCGAAACATGGAGAAATGACTATACCCTTCCCCTAGGGATGAACAACAGTGACAGATATTCTAAATAGGCATCAATCACCTTGGTGGGGGGGTTGGGATCAAAACCTCCTTAGCCCATTCCTCCCCAGGAAATCCTTGTTATTTTCATGTACACTGGCTAAGCGACGTGCTTCCCCATTTTATCCCCATTTAATCTACATTGCCTAAGTGACCACACTTGTAATACGCTTGGTTGACCATAGTTTTATCCCACCTTATAGACATCTTGTGATTTTCCATTGGATCAATATTACCTAAGTGACTATACTTGTAATCTTAGTGACTATAGTTTTGTCCCACCTTATCCCACCTCCCATCTCATGGTTTTGCTCCATAAAACTCCCTTGAGAAGTGGGGTCCCAGGGCAACCCACTTTCCAGGCCCCCTGCTGTTTCTCTTAGACAGAAGCTATCCTCTCATTCTACTCTTCCTACTCATAACCTCTGTTGTTTCTAGGGCCAGGGATTTAGCTCAAAGGTTCCAGCGCCTGCCTCGTAAATGCAAGGTCCCATGTTCAATGTCCGGTACCAAAAAAAAAAAACCCTCCATTGTTCCTAAAATTCATGCTTCAATTTTAGAGAACACGAACTTGGCATATTGGACATCTGGCAGATCAACAGTCATAGTATTTCCTTTATATTATTTAGAGGTCCATATATCATCCCTATACGCCCTATATCACTGGAATTACAGGCATGCCCCACACCGAGCCAATCTGGGCTTTCTTAGATGTTTTCAGGTCCCCTCCTCCAGGAAGTCTTGATAACCCAGATCTGGCTTCCACTGTCCCAGTCCTGACCACTCTGAGCTGCCACTGTTGGAGAACTGTGTTTCCCCACTGGCCTGAATGGTGAAAAGGAAGGGAAGGAGAGAGGGAAAGGAAAGCCAAGCCTAAGATCAGACAGGATTTCAAAATTACATGAGAAGGAAGCAGGGCACGTGGGCAGTGGGGACAGCTTGAGCAATGTGTGGAGGCAGGAAGGCAGTGGGGCACTGGTGGGACAGGGTGTACTCAGTGACTGCAGGAGTCAGGAAAGGAGAGGGATTAGCAGCCTGGGAAGAAACCTCCAGACAGAGGCTCTGCTCTGAAGGCAGCACTGAGCTCCTGACCACTATCAGAAGTCCCTGGGGATGGGCCTGGGATTTAGCTCAGTAGTTCTACCACCTGCCTTGCAAGTGCAAGGTTCTGAGTTCAATCCCCAGTACCAAAAAAAAAAAAGTCCCTAGGGAGCAGAGCAGGGAGTGTCTGGTCAGAGCTGGGCCACACTGGCAACTTGTGGAAGGATGAGGAAAACAGGAGTTGGAGAGTGCCAAATGTCTTCCTTCTTGTTGTTGTTATTATTAGTAGTAGTAGTAGTAGTCACCCACTTGCAGCTCAGCTGTGCTGAGATGCCAAGCAGTTGAGAGTACAGGCAGAGAGAAGAGCAATGGCAGAAAGTCCCAGAGGGTCAGTTCCTTTGCCTGCGCACTAGCACATCCAGGCAAGTCTGCTTCTCACAGCTGTGGCCACAAGTGGGAACACGCAGTCTCTAAGGGAGGCATGTGGGGTGAGGTGGGCTCGGGGCAGACTCCAGCCAGGAGCCCCAGTGCCAAGGGAGGGCTCAGAAGGCAAGTGGATGAACTATGGATTGCACACCCAGCCCCACGTGAGGCTCCAGTGCACACCTGCGTCGGCTCTGATCCTCTCTCCCTGAACCTGCCCTGCCAGCCCTTCTGATTCACCAGGGGAGAACCACACCCAACCTAGGGGTGAGGGTGGAGCATGTAAACAGGAGTCTTCAGAGGGACAACAGGGACAGCAAGCGAGTCCCTGGCTGGACTAAGTATCCCTACGGATCTGAGGTTGCCACAGCCTTTTGACAATCTGATAAACGTGGGAGTCTCTGCGCTTCCTAGAAAAACATACAAATGGGCTAAGAGCTGGGGCCAGTTCATGACTCTGTAAGACAGCCACAGAATCCAGACTGGTATCTGGGGAAGAAAGTACACTCTATCTGCCTATTCCTTGTTCTTCCAGGTTTGGGAGTCACAGATTCCTCAGAGGACTCAACAGAAGTCATAGACCCTCACTGCAAAATTATGTGCACACACAGAGAGACTGTGTGTGCTGCAACTTCAGGGGATCCTGGGCATATCAGTCAGTGGTCTTCCACTGAAGACCCCAGAGCTAGAGTTAGTAGGGGAAGGAGAAAGGGGGGTGGGTGCCTGGAGTGGGTTAGTTAGTAACCTTGCCCTCCAATGTGGGGAGGTCAGCGGATAGAAAAGTTTCCTGGAGATGAAAGCATAAACTGATAAAGAACTTCCCAAGCAAAGGTGGGGATGACCAGTCCGGGGAATGTGACTCTGGGGCAGAATGGGTCCCACTCACCCCAGACCTGTCCTCAGGATCGCTGGTACCTCCACCTCCGGCCACTAAGTCATCCTCAGACTCATCGAAAGAAGAGGCAGAGGAGAATCCTCCACTGCCCCCCTCAATCCTAGAGGCCAGTTCCACAGGCTGGGCCTCAGGCTCAGGGGTCTCAGGGGTGATGATAAGGCGGGGCACAGGGCACAGGGAACTGCACTCCAAGCCAGAGTGCAGGTGAGTCACCAACTCCCCAGGCTCAGTTTCCTCCAATGGACCATCTTGATTGGACTCCCCCAAATGGCAGTCTGCTCTAGGTCCTGTCTGGGGACCATCAATCCCAGGCTGTGTCCAGGAGCTATCATGAGTTTCTTGTTGTACTGGGAAACCATCACTGCTAGGCTGCTTCCAGGCTGTTTCAGTATTCTGTTGTATCTGGGAGCCATCAGTGTGAGGCTCTGTCCAGGAACCTTCAGGATCCTGTGGCATCCCGTAGCCATCAGTATACATTTCTTCCCAAGAGCCATCAGCAGTTGGTTCTGTGGAGGGACAGGTTCCCTCTGGGTAAGACTGGAGGCTGGACCTACTCTGATGGGTCCAGAGGTTATCAGCCCAAGGCTTCACCTTCTCTGGCTGGGTCTGCCACCCAGCTATTTCTAGCACCGTCCAGGGCTCATCAACCCCTGGCTGTGTCCAGATGCTGGCCCTCTCTGCCTGAGACTGGAGATCAGGTCCGTGTGTATCAGCCCAAAAGCCATCTGTCCCGGTCTCCTTCCAGGCACAGGCCGTCTCCAGCTCTGACTTGCGGTTGCTCTTTTCTGGATGTGTCTGGGAGCCGGATCCCTCTGGCTCTGTATTTTGGCCGAGACGCTCGGTCTCTGCCGCTAGGCCAGCTGCTTCGGGCTCAGCCAGTCCATCTCTCCAGGGTTCTCTCCGTGGACTTTCAGCCCCTGGCTCAGGCCCGAGGGGGGACCCCTCGGTCCAGGACCGGGGCCCGCCCCCCTCCGGCCGCTCCGCCGGGCCCCCAGCGCCAGGCCCAGGTCGCTGCAGTCCTGGCTGCCGTCGTCGCCCCCCTCGCAGCGCCTCCAGCCCCATGCGGGCCGCTTCGGGCAGAGTCCCAGCCTCTGCCTCGCTCAGGCTCCCCCTGCACGGACAGCGCCTCATGCCCGCTCCCTCGGTTCGGGCTTCGGCCGGCCGGCCGCTCCTTCCCCTTTAAATTATACGAGGGGTGTGGCTGGGGAGCCCCGACGCGCGGGTTCCGGCCCGCGGAGCTCCAGCCCGCCTGGCCTGGTAAGGGTTAACCGATACTCCGCCTCCCAGGGAAAGCACGGAGCCCCGCCCACCGGACGTGACGTATAGTCGGGCCAGGGTGGCTCTTCCAGTCTACGTCAGAGGGAGTCGTGTCTGCGTCCGAGGCGAGACTAGGATTTGTCTGTGGCGCTGGTCCTGATGGCACACGGAGAACAACCCTCCCTATACCCTGCTTCTGTGATTAACCCAACCTCCCTACGCCCTCGAGTGACCTGTTCAGCCTCCCCGCAGCCCCTGGTGATCCGTCCAGCCGTGCACCCTCTCTACGTACAGGGGGTGGAAATACTCAAAGACTTGGAGATCCTACGGGCATGAGTTGGAGAGCCGGCTCTGCCACTTCTCAGCTGTGTTACCCTGAGCAAATGACTTACGCCCCATCGAATACTTATTCCGTAGGAAATTTCATGGATAGAGGACTTGTTCTGTAAGAGGCCATGATAACGATTTCACAGCTTCTATAGTTCGAAATTTACAAATGGGACCACTGAAGCTCAGAGGTCTGCCAGCATCTAGCCTTTGTAGTCCTGGTACTATCTGATATGACCTCATGGATTGGAAACATGTAGTGCCAGTCTTGGCATTGTCAGCCACAGCCCGGTAGAGTTCCTTGTCACCTGTGTTTTTTGTAGTTTGCCCCAGAGATGAACTGCCCTCAGCTCCTGAGTCAGACCCTCACCTTTGGAGGGGGGTATAGGGTGGATTCAGTTCTGAAATTGAGTCACCCAGAGAAAGGACATTGGGCACAGGCCCAAGGCTCTAGAATGAGTCATCTCAGGCCAGCGAGAAGTCAGAGACAGGGGCTCAGCTGATAACATTTTACAGGTTAGGAAGCTGAGGTCCCGAGAGGGAGTAGGGCTCTTCTGAGATCACACAGCAAGACCATAGAGACAGGGAGGCCTCATTCCCGACAAAATGGGGCTAGACAGGAGGAGCAGGTGGGTGTGGGGGATATATCTGCATTTCTCCCTTTGTCAGTGGTGGGAGAGAGAGATGTCCCAGCCAGCTGTTTCTGTTCAGACGGTGAGAAGGGTGAGTCGCCCCAACACATACGCACACAGATGGCTGGAAGCTGATTTCCTGGGATGCCAATGTTCCTGACTCAGTACTGGGAAGCTTGGCTGAGTGTGTTCTGGGAAATGTCAGGCCTGCAGGAAACAGAGGGGCCCCACTGGAACCATCCTGCAGGTGGGCGGGGAGCAGAGGGAGCAGGCTGTGTGAGGGAACAGAGGCTCAGTGTGCAAGTGAGAGGTTTATGTACACGGGAGAGTTGGTGTGAGCAGGAGACAGTTGGCAAGCAAGGCAGGGCATTTATATGCGCAAGTAAGGAGGTTGGGTGCCAGGGTGTGGGTGTTTGTGCGAAGTGAAGGAGTTCTAACTGCAAGGGAAACGTTTGCTCAGAAGAATGTGTTCAAAGGAGATGTTGAGCCTACCATACCAAGAGTAGAAAGAAAAAGGGTGCCTGGCAAAATGTTCATGCAGAAAGGTGTGGAGTTTGTGAAGGAACAGTGATGTTCGCAAGAAAGACAGTTCAGGGAACCGAAAGGTCTGCCGCGTGCGCGAGGCTCAGAGAAGAGTTGTAAGGGATGAGGGGTACGTGCGCGCTCCCGCAGTGCCCCAGCAATCCCACCCCGACAAGGCGCTCGGTCCTGGGCCCCGCCCACCGCGCATAGCAGGGCGCGCTCCGGCCCGTCAGCGAGCCGCTGCTCCACCATTGGCTAACTGACGGGGGGGGGGGGCGTGCAGCTGTTCCCGGAAGCGCGGGGGCCCCCCACGCGCCCGGGACCGGGAGTCCGAGAGCGGTAGGTGCTTAGCAACGGGGAAGGAGTGTAGTGGGTAGGTGGGGAGGCACGAGGTAAACTGTGGGTCCCTCGCCACACAGGGTTAAGATAGTGCCTAGCAACGGGGGGTCTAGCTCGGAGAAGTAGAGAGGTAGCCTTGGAGGATCTGTGGATGTCTGGCAACGGGGGAGGACCCTAGCAACGGCGAGGGGCTGGGAAAGTGGGTTTGGGAGGCGGACAGGTAGAACTACTTGTTCCTAGCAACCAGGGGAGTAACCAGGAGGAACTGTGGAGATCTATTAACAGGGGAGAATGTCTTTACTAGATAGGAATCTGAGAAAGGGCCGAAGCAGGGCACAGCAGGGAGCCAGTCCTACAACTTCTAACAATTCCTCCTTTTCTCCCTTAGGCAATGTGGCTGGAGCTAGGGGGGCTACTGCGGGGAACCTGTGGACAGCTGGGCTGGAATATTGGTCTGCCTTGTGGGGTCCTGGGGCCTAGGCCCCACTGGTGGGTAAGGAGGTCCCCAAAGAGAAAAGGCTTGGGAAGGCTTCAGAGAATAACGGCCCTGGAGTGGTCCAAAAGGGCCAGGCAGACGCTCCAACCTTCAGTTTTTACCACCCTCCACATCTCTTGCAGGGCCCCTGTGGGGGGTTTTGGGCCCAAAAGTTTCATCAGGATGGGCCTGGGAGAGGCCTGAGTGAGGAGGACATTCGGAGGGCACGCGAGGCCCGTCTCAGGAAAACACCCCGGCCCCAGGTATCACCTCGCCCCCAGCAATACCCTATGAAGGCTACTGGCCTCCAAATCTCAGGGAAGGGGTGGCAGCAGGTTGGTTGGCTTCCCAGCGCTGTCTGCGCCCTCCCACCCTCAGAGCTTCTTGTTTCCCAGCTGAGTGACCGCGCCCGAGAACGCAGGGTACCTGCCTCCCGGATCAGCCGCCTGGCCAGCTTTGGGGGTAGGTGTGACCCTGAGGGGTCAGGGTGTTTCCTAGATCAGACAGAGAGGCAACATTTACAGGATGAAGCAAGAAAAAGATGAGAGGGAGGGCCGGGGATTTAGCTCATTGGTTTCGCCGCCTGCTGCGCAAGCACAAGGACTGGAGTTCGATTCCTAGTACCAAAAAAAAAAAAGATGAGAGAGAGGAGAGGCAAGGAAAAGAGGACAAAAGCCAAGCCCTGCAAAGCCAAGAGAGACACAGAGGAATGTAAGATGATAACATTTGTTGAGAAACTGTTTGTGCAAGGACCCCTACACAATGACCTCTCTGTACTAAATGTTGTGGGGTTTTTGTTGTTTTTTTTTTTGGTACCGGGGATCAAACTTGGGACCTTGTGCTTGCGAAGCAGACACCGGAACCACTGAGCTAAATCCCCGGTCCTAAATGTTGTTTTTCTAAGCAAAACATTTATTGGTACATTTTAGACACATAATGATAACACTCATCACTGGGAATTTGTACCTGTACAAATATCCTACTTCTACACCCCCACCCCCACCCCACCCCCCGCCCCCGGGCTCTGTACTAAATTGGTAACTTTTTGGGCCAGGGATTTAGCTCAGTGGTGCCGCACCTGCCTTGCAAGCCCAAGATCCTGAGTTCAATCCCTGGTACCCTCCCCCCCAAAAATAGTTAACTTTTTTTCCATTTTAGAGGTGAGGAAATGGAAGCTAAGAGAAGTAAGGTGACTTGACTGCAGGTCATGTAGCAGGATTGTTGAAACCGGCATAAAATAATTCAAAAAAGAGAGATAAACATAGAGCAAAGTTACTGTGGACAACAAAATAGGAGTCCCCAGAAGGGCAAGGATTTGAGGGCCTTTGTACTAGTGATGGACCCAGGGCTTTCACACTGAGGTGCATCCCCAGCCCTTTATTTTATTTCTTATTTTGAGAAGAGGTCTTAGTTAAGTTGCCCAAGCTGGGCTCAAACTTGCAGTCCTCCTGCCTCAGCCTCCCAGAGTACTGGGATTACCATATCCAGCTTCAGGGCTTCCTTACCTTTGGTTATACACTAGAATCAGCTGGAATGTTTAATAAAATACAAATTCCCAGGCCTCATCTTAGACCAGTTCAGTCAGAATCTCAGGAGTGAGGCCTGGCATTTACAAAAGCTCCTTAGAGGACTCTGAACTGCTGGGAGAGAGACAGAACTATGGAAAGAGGGATAAAGTAAAAGCCTCGAGTTGAAGAGAAACCTAAGCTGGAAAAGAGAAAGATCCTGAATTGGAGACAGAAACGGTGAGTCGAGTTAGGAGATAGATGTATAGACTAAGAAGACAGGCATGGAGCCCCATGCCTACAGTCCCAGCTACTCAGTAGTCCGAGGCAGAAGATTGCAAGTTTGGGCACCTTATTGAAAGACCCTTTCTCAAAACTGAAAGGACTGGCATGTAGCTCAGTGACAGAGCACCCCAGTACCAGAAAGAGAGAATGAGAAGAGAGAAGGTCTGAGGGGAAGGCTCCAGGCGAGCGGCACTCAGCATCCTCTCTCACTCCTCAGGACTGGCTGTGGGCTTGGGGCTGGGAGCACTGGCTGAGGTAGCCAAGAAGTCCCTGCCAGGAGGACATCTGCAGTCAGGTGAGTGAACCTCATCTTCTAGGTTCAGATCCTGGCCTTGTTGTGTGACCTGGGGTAAGTGGCATCACCTCTCTGAGCCCTGGTTTCTTTGTTGGAAGATTGGGGTAATGAGAATGTACCTATCTTTTAGGGTTGTGAAGTGCATAGAACCAGGGCTAAGCAGCTGTCAGGGCTGTGTAATAGAAACTATTATCTGAGAAAAATATAAGCCACTGGGAGTTGCTGACTCTGAGCGAGGGAGGAAAATAGTGCTGATAGGATGTGTATATGCCAAAGATGGAATCACACCTTTGGAATTTATAGGTGAGATTCCATAACAGGTCAGTGTCTTGAAACAAAAGTGAGGGTAGATAGTCAAGATTACAGTGGCCGGGGATTTAGCTCAGTGGTTTCGCCACCTGCTACGCAAGCGCAAGGACCCAAGTTCGATCCCCAGTACCAAAAAAAAAAAAAAAAAATTACAGTGAGACTAAAAAGACATTGATTGACAGATG